GAATAGTTCAATGAAATTGTTGGTAGCGGTCGGTCTCTTTCGGGAGTATGAAACGTCCAAAATACCAAACATGTCTTAGCCCATATGCTGAGTATGCTCCCACCTAACAGTGTTCCTTTTGGATGAATAGAAACTAACACAGGCGGGAATGGAAGTTCAGCGGTGTTTGGGAGGTCAAGTGTCCAATTTGAGTTCCATGCACTCGACAACCAAGCACCGGTGTCTGCATTTGCAGCTCAAGATGGCCACCACCACGTGTTCGTGCATACAAACCGCAACCACCCAGCCGACCGTTAAGAACATTGCGGTTACCAGTGATAATGAGATGTTGACAGGGGTGATGAAGGTTAACAAGCTGCATATGGGTGGTCTGGTAGTTCGTGGTTCGATTTGGTATACGAATAAAACAAGAGTAAAAGTTTATGAGAACACAGTCTACCGAATGAACCCGGAGAATAATCATAGTTTTAACAATCCAGTGACAGGGTGGTCTTTCACACAGGGCAATTGGTGTTTTTGACGGTCAACGTTTGGGTGATTCTGCGGCCACAATACGGGGTGCTCCGGCTGACTCTTCGGTAGCGTTTGTTCCCCTTATTCTCAGACACCTTCCCTCCAAAAAGCGCTCTTCTGGCGTATTTCAAAGTGGTTAAAAACCTCCAACCAAGTTGTTCGGGAACCACACGGTAACCTCATGCCGAAAACAGTTTCATATTATTCGCAGCTAAGGTGAGGTGACAGGGAACTCACGAAGTCCTCATGCAGAAATTAGTTCCATAGGGGTCACAGCTAAGTACTGCTGGGACTATTTGTGGGTTTGGTTCATGCAAACAGCCACCAGAGAGCCAGCTTTTGGTTCCATTCGCATGAAGGGAAAGAGCCAAACCAGGGGCACCCAGGGCAAGATAGTAATGGTGGTTGGGGAGATTTAACTCCCATACAGAGTCTTTGTATATGGCCCATAGTCGGTGGGCAGGAGGCAAGCTTCTACACTCCTCCATGAATTTGAGGCAAAGATCCAGGGCAAGGAGCGTTTGTCACATATCTTCCCCCTCCTGGGAGACTAACCAGACCCCAGACCTCCAGTCTGGTGGCCTTTTCCAAAAGTTGCAGTGATCAACAGGGCTTCCTGCCACACACTCCAATTTATACATCCAGGGTATTTCTGGGAAGGGCAACTGCTAAAATCTACTCCTGGGATTTTAGCTCCACTCCTTGGGATGAAGAAACTATCCACTCCCTGTTTTATGTACTGCCTCTGGAGAATGAGACTGGTTGCCTCCACTTACTGGAACACAATCTGCCGCTGGGGAGTGGGACTCCTAATTAGGCCTGCTGCTGCTAGGGAGAGGGGTCGAAAATCTCCTCTGCTTGTAACTCCGACTGCCGCTGTGGAGAGAGACTGGTTGTCTTCCTGCATGGTAAACTGCCACTGGGTAGTGAGACAGACTGGGTGCTGGGTAGTGAGACCGACTATACCCACTCCCAGTGGAGAGAGACCGATTTTCTACCCTCCCTGTAACTCTGTCTGCCGATGGGGAGAGAGACTAGTTGTCTCTTCTCCCTGCCTGGTACACTGCCGCTGAGGAGTGAGACTGACTGTCTCCACTCCCAGTGATGCTTGCTGCTGCTGGGAGAGGGACTGAAAATCTTCTCTCGCTGTAACTCTGGCTGCCGCTGGGTAGAGAGACAGGTTGTCTCCTCTCCCTTTAACTCATACTGCCTTTGGGGAGTGAGACAGACTATCTCCACTCCAAGGGATGTTTGCTGCTACTGGGATGAGGGACCGACAATCTCTGCTCCCTGAGATGCTGCCAGGTGCTGGTTATTGAGACCGACTATCTCCACTCCAAGGATGCTTGCTGCTGCTGGGATGAGGGACTGACAATCTCCACTCCCTGAGATGCTGCCAGATGCTGGTTAGTGAGACCGACTATCTCCACTCCCAGGGATGCTTGCTGCTGCTGGGATGAGGGACCGACAATCTCTGCTCCCTGAGATGCTGCCAGGTGCTGGTTATTGAGACCGACTATCTCCACTCCCAGGGATGCTTGCTGCTGCTGGGATGAGGGACCGACAATCTCCACTCCCTGAGATGCTGCCAGGTGCTGGTTAGTGAGACCGACTATCTCCACTCCCAGGGATGCTTGCTGCTGCTGGGATAAGGGATCGACAATCTCCACTCCCTGAGATGCTGCCAGGTGCTGGTTAGTGAGACCGACTATCTCCACTCCCAGGGATGCTTGCTGCTGCTGGGATGAGGGACATACAATCTCCTCTCCCTGAAATGCTGCCTGGTGCTGGGTAGTGAGTGACTAGGGGTCCCCAAACCCTTAGTCATCCCCCTCCACCCAAAGAAAATAACCCCTACCTACCCCCCTTACCCTAAAAATAATGAGGGGGTGGGGGCCGGGGGTGGAGGACAGTAGGTTATGTAGGGCTCCCACCCGCCGAGCAAGGGTGGAGGCTGGGGGGAGGACAGTAGGTCCCCCCATTCTTATTTAGGGCCCCCACCCACCGCTCAGGGGTGGGGGCCTTGGGGAGGACAGTAGGTCCCCCCCTCATTGTTATGCAGGGCCCCCACCTGTCGCGCAATGGTGGGGGCTGGGGGGAGGACAGTGGGACCCCCACACAGGACCTGCTGCACAGGGGTGGGGGCCGGGGGAGAGGACAGTAGGTCCCCAAACCCCTAGTCACCCCCCTCCACCCAAAGAAAATAACCCCTACCTACCCCCTTACCCTAAAAATAATGAGGTGGGTGGGGGCCGGGAGGAGGACAGTGGGTCCCCCCTCATTGTAATGTAGGGCCCCCACCCATTATGCAGGGGTGGGGGCCAGGGAGGAGGACAGTAGGCCCCCCCTCAATCTTATTTAGGGCCCCCACCCATCACGCAGGGGTGGGGACCGGTGGGGACTGGGGGGGAGGACAGTAGGTCCCCCCTCTCATTGTTATTTAGGGCCCCTAACTGAGTACTGCCATTCCCATTATTCCTGCTCTGCACTGAGAACTACCATTCCCATTATCCCTGCTCTGCACTGAGTACTACCATTCCCATTATCCCATGCACTGACTGAGTACTACCATTCCCATTATCCCTGCACTGAGTACTGCCATTCCCATTATCCCTGCTCTGCACTGAGTACTACCATTCCCATTATCTCTTTACTGACTGAGTACTTCCATTCCCATTATCCCTGCTCTGCACTGAGTATTACCATTCCCATTATCCCTGCTCTGCACTGAGTACTACCATTCCCATTATCCCTGCCCTGACTGAGTATTAACATTCTCATTATCTCTGCTCTGCACTGAGTACTGCCATTCTCATTATCCCGGTGTGGCAGTTGATATATCTGTATCTGTGTGTATTTCTCACCCCTCAGCAGTCAATGCAGCATCTACATACTATGTCTATGGCTCACATGCTGCACTGGCCAATCACAGCCATGCCATTAGTAGACATGGCTGTGATGGCTTCTAAGTGCACACTAGTCAAACGTTTGTTGATTGGCTGCCCTGCAGCCTTTCAAAACGCATCATTAAATCGCCGAACACCGAACTCCAACCCGAACATACAGTGAAATGTTTGTGTTCGGGTCCGGGGTCCAAAAAACGTAATGTTCGGTACGAACCCGAACTTTTCAGTTTGGTTTCGCTCAACTCTACTTATTACCACTACACTTGGTACAAGCTAGTGGAAAAATGATTTCACGCTAAGGTTCAAAATATGCCTTTTGAAATACCCTCCAGTGCCTTCTTTAAGAAATGGTATGCGTTTGTGGGGTAGTTGAAATAATCAACCTACTAAAAAACTCGAAAATGGCTTATGGACCCATTTCTCTCTTCTTTTCCCTTGATTCATTCTATACTGTATTATCTGCATGTTACTTCTTTACATTGATTATACGGTTTACCTTCTCTTATTTATTTATTATGTTTCCAATTATTTATTTATTATTATTCTCCTTTTTCTTTTTCAATCATCACATTGACTATATATTATCTATTTTCCATTTTTTATTTTTTTTATTTTTTTCTCTCTTTTTTTCTATATACTAGTGCTTCCCAATATATTTGCACCTTCAAACTATTTTACTGTATGTAAACATGATTGCATTTGATACAATTGGATTCATAACAGCTGGTTAAATGTTTCAATTCTAAATTGTATATAAAAGTATCTCCAAACACGTAAGGCCTACAGGCATACTGCCAAGAAGGTCCACTGTTCAGTAGTCTGATGTTACCTTTAGCGCACGAGCCGACTCCGAGCACGAGATGACTCCAATCTACATACAAAGAGGCATTGAAAATCTTTCCGATATCGGTGGAAGGCTTCGGATGGAATGCTGTGTGGAACGCATGCCGACCTCACCAACAGACTACACACAGTGAGGACTGCAGCTCCGACATACCCCATCCATCGGGAGAACATTAAAAGCGGCTATCGTGCAGCACATCCTGAGCTACTGTTGGTACTTTTTTAATATTTATCTAAGGATTTATTCTTATTTTATCACTGACTCATTAAAGTTGTTTGGATTTTTCTAAGAAGCACTTCTTAGGACGTCTTTTTCCCTCTCTCTGGAACTCTGCTGCAGTAAATCCAATAGTATTAGTAACGAAGGATAGAATTTCCCAAGTAGTATAATCCAGAGCAGGTATAGCTTTCTCCTACAGACATTAGTCGAGATTGAATTCTGGGAGTGAACTGACTTTATTAGGGACCACACACAGACTTTTATGCAAAGACCCCTACATGGGGTTTCCAACACAAACATACAGGGTCTTTTCTCCCAAGAGAGATAATAGACTGAAAACAAAATAATAATGAAATTATCTCTCAGGTACAGAAAATCTACAATTTTTATAACACCCCAAAAGAGACATATAATAACCATGTATCCCCTCAAGTCTTTTTTTTTTTAGTTACTCCAATGGCCATTGGAGGGAATGCGCACCTGCCAACGTCAAGGCAGACACCCCTAAGCGGGCCCTACACTGACCCTTTACCTTGCTTCCTTGAGCTTCTGGCAAAGATAAGTGTATATAAAAAATACCCCAATCTGTCTCAGTGGAGATATCTTTGCCAGAAGCTCAAGGAAGCATGGTAAAAGGTCAGTGTAGAACCCGCTTAGGGGTATCTGCCTTGAAGTTGGCAGGCGAGCATTTCCTCCAATGGCCATTGGAGTAACTAAATGACCTCCATTTGTATAAATATACATAGGGATTAAGGAAAGAGCGCAGGTAACTTTTTCTTTCCTTTGGTTTTGAACTATATTTTGGGGCTGATGTGTACTGTAGTCATTGCTGTGCCCAGGAAAGGGGTATTCCCTCTAATGGCCATTGGAGTAACCAAATGACCTTCATTTGTCTAAATATACATAGGGATTAAGGAGAGAACGCAGGTAACTTTTGTTTTTCCTTTGGTCTAAATATATAAGCATAGGATACAACAAAGACATTAACTCACTCAGACATAGAAGAAAACACAAGTTCAAAACTACAGATCAGGAGTTGTCTATTTTGTTTGTCTAATACTATTACCTGTTGTACTTTTTGCAACGTAAATAAATAGAATCATACGTTTAAATTGTTTTTAACCAAAGATCAAGATATCTTGTTTTTTATATTGCTAAGGGTTTAAGTAAACCAATTCTTTTTTCATACGAAACTGAAATTCCAGTTGATATAAATACTGATGTTTTTGGAACAGAATATTCCTGGCAATCATAATTGTTGTCGCTATGAGGCAGTGAATAGCTAAACATCTATTTTCCTTAGGAAGTACATCCAGTTTCAAATGTAGTAATGCGGTCTCTAGGCACCAGTTGACATTTTCATTTGATAAAACCCTATAACTTTCAAATGCCCATTTCCAAATTGTTTTAATTGGCAGACATGACCACCAGATATGTATAAAAGTACCCGCAGGATTTCCACATCTCCAACAGTTTGACATATAATTAGGATACATTTTAGATAATCTAGATGGAACCAAATACCATGTATTCATGATTTTATATTGGCCTGCTATTACATTCAAGAAATGTATATTTTTTTTTAAACTTGCTGGAAGAAGGTGTACCAGTCAGATTCTAAAACTCCAATCCTAACTCCTTATTCCAGGTTTTTATTATTTTTTTTTTTTTATCTTTAACAGCTCAATCAATTTATTGGCTTTGAGGTAAACAGTTTGGATTTTTAACCCATTTGGCTGCTTACAAAAGATATAAAATTTGACTTCTATTCAGCTTCAATTTGGTTGTTGTTTGAAATCAGCTGACTCCATAAAATAAGGGTGATTCAGCGTTCATGAACACCAGATTGCAGCCATATTCCAACCAAATTAGCTTCCTTCTTTGTTCAAATCTTCAAATTACATACAGTTACATAATAGTCTAAAAGTTAACGTCTCGCCCTTTGTCCCGAGGATGTGGGTTTATGAGTCGTAGGGTGTCCCTTCAGTCTATAGTCGCTAAAACAGTTCATAGCTATGGCTAGTGTGTCCAGACGATTATAGGTCGCTGTAATATGGCAGGATCAGGTCGGACCCGTGTGGTTCCAGGCTATGGTTATCAACCTAGTGGATGTGCCTGATGCCAGTCCGGTTTATTATATCGCCCTCGATATCGGTTCCCTATAACCCCAGGGAGAGGGGGGGGGAGGGGAGGTGTCGTCGGAGCATAAATGGTTGGATCTAGTGAGCCTCGGTCGTGCTGCAATAATTGTCAGAACGAGAAAAAACAGAGAACAAGTCAGATGGAAAATGTGCGAACTGAAGCCTATCTTAAGTATGTCCCTCAGGTCTTGGGTTTGGCATCTCTGCCTCTTCCAGGAGTCACGGCTGTTTCAGCTTCGGAAGTTCCAGGCAGTCTAGTGGTGTCCCCAAGTTTTCTGTGGGGTTCGGTAGTCCCAGGGCAGTCATCAGTGCTGGGCCTTCTGTGGGTTCGGTGGCCTTGAAGTGCTTGTCGCCTTTTTCCACACCTATAGGTTATCCCAGCCGTTTGGAGTTGCTTGGTGATTGGGTGCATGCTCTTGCGCCATTGTAGTGTGGCTCTGCTCAGGTCCTGAAAGAAGGAGATTTTGCATGTTTGTCGAGTGGGGTCAGCCCTTGTATTGCTGCCATTAGCCCCAATTTGTCCGCCATTGAGCGGCATCTTAAGATTACATCTCGTGGAGCTGAGGTGGGTGCTTGTGGGGATTTAGCTATACGATAGATCCCGTCGAATTGGAATGCTTTTGCCTGTTTGGCTGGTAAAAGTGTGACCACAAGGCGTCTAGCGAAATGCGGTAATTCGTCCAGTGGCATTGATTCCGACACCCCTCGAATTTTAATATTTTTGCGGCGCCCTCTGTCATCCAAGAGAATAGCCATTGGTTTCTTTCTCCCTCAGTCCCTTGACCTCTTCTTCGATTGCTTGCGTGCGCGTTGACACCGTGTGTACGTCTAGCTTGAGTATGGCTAGATCTGCTTCCCACATTTGTCTGAGATTCTGCTGTAGGCCTGTTAGCATTGCCTGTATGTCATTTTTGGAGGCCGGTGCGCTAGTGTCCGATGTCCCTGTGGGTGTCGGGTGTTGGGGACTGGGGTATGGATTGTCCTGTGTGTCTCCTTCCTCTGAAGGTTGTGGGGATGTGTCTCGAGGAGTTTGGGCCTTCATGGCGTTTGAGGCCTGTAGCATTTGGCCTATGTCGCGCTGGGGCTTTGCGGTATTTTGGGGCGTTTTTTGCGTCTTGCGGCCCATCTCACCTGCGCTCAGTGTGTCGGGGTACCAGTCCTCAAAGTCTGGGACGTTCCAGGGCCAGTGCGTTCCCGAAAGGGCCTGAGGTTGCCCTCCCGATCTGTAGGCCTTGCTGCCGCGGCGTTTATTTTTGGAGCCGGGTGTCAGGAGGAACGGCATCAGCGTGTCTGTGTGTCTCCGAGGTCAGTACTCGGTTGGGAGTCTGTATGTGATGCGGGTTTTCCCCGATTTCTGCAGATTTCAGTGGATTGTACCGGAGCTCCGGCAATGTGCGACCGCTCCGGTCTGTGTCAGGCTCCGCCCCCCGTTTTTATTATTTTTAATGGTTTATCAATTAACAGCTCAATCAATTTATTGGCTTTGGAGGTAAACAGTTTGGATGTTTTAACCCATTTGGCTGCTTACAAAAGACTATAAAATTTGCACTTCTATTCAGCTTCAATTTGGTTGTTGTTTGAAATCAGCTGACTCCATAAAATAAGGGTGATTCAGCTATTCATGAACACCAGATTGCAGCCATATTCCAACCAAATTAGCTTCCTTCTTTGTTTCAAATCTTCAAATTACATACAGTTACATAATAGTCTAAAAGTTAAAAAAGGCCATTTAGTTCATTCCTTTATGCTGTTGATCCAAAAGACAAATAAACTCAATTGCAGCCATTTCAAATGATGTCACAAAGATGGAAAAAATAAATCTTTCTTGACTCCATCAATCAGATTTCTCCTTGCATCAAAAGCCTTTTCACATATGTATCAATTATACCCTTGAATGTGCTGTGTATGCAAACAAATACCCAATCCACATCTTTATTGTTCTAGCTTTAAATAACCCCTTCCTCTGCTGTAAGCGAATATGCCTTTCTTCCAGTCTAAATAAGTGACCTCTTCTCTGTTGTATATTCCTACTAATGAACAGGTTAGCACATAGCAGATTGTACTGACCATGCATATTAAGTATTTGTGTACATTAATACATAAAAGCTGTACACAGCATTTGTGTACAGCTTCTAAAGAAAACAAATGCAGTTTTTCTAGACCTTTTTTCACAATTATGGTTTTCCATCCCCCCTAATTCAGTAGCTTGCCTATGCACTCTTTCAAGTTCTGCAATATCCTTCTTTAAAACAGGTATCCAAAATTGCACCACATATTCAAAGTAAGGTCTTACCATTGATAAGTTATAAAGAAGCACAATTATATTTTGATCACATGAATCAATGCCTATTTATTACATTACTATTTACTATTACTACTATTACTATTACTACTACTATTACTATTGAAAACTGTTGCCTAGTTAATGTTATCCTTCATTTTAATTTATGGTTATCCTTACTCAATCCCATGTAATGTATAATTGGCTTGTGGGATTCTCATTCCAAAATGCATAACCTTACAATAGCTCTTTGTTGATTTTTCTGGCTTTACACATACCAACAAAAATGACAAACATTACACCAACATTATTTCAGAAATAGCAATCACAGATATACAGTGAATGAATACATATTTAGTAGTCTCAGTATTCCATAGAGATTAGCCACTGTATATTCTAAAGGTAAATATAAAAACACAAAAAATAGATTAGTGTTTGTGACGAGACCAATCTCGCCACATTGCATTGGAGAAGCCTGGTTGCTCGCCTGCTGCCTTTGGACTATGGCCCCATGTTAAAAGACATCTTTTCTCCCTGCAGAAAATAATTATTCGTGCTTTTCTGCCGGGTGTTCGGTAGATTCAATCTACCGAACAACCGCACGAATGAATAGACCACCTGGGAGCTGGAGTGTGCCGGCAATTAACCTCCCTGAAGCTGCGGTTAACCACAGCTTAATTGGCGAATGCTGGGTGGCCGCCATTCGTATAACGAACACGAGGTCGCGGCCATTTTAAACATTCGAATGCACAGCGGTGTTCGACACTTAATTCATGGAACTGAAATCGGACACAGTTTTGCGCGAACACCGCTGAAGCCGCCGACCTCCCTTCTTGTTCGGTAAAAGTGCATGAACGGCCCGGTGTTCGGTAGTTTTGCTTGAATGTGTTATACCCCAGATAGGAATCCCATGGAGCTCATTCACATAGAACTGACTATATAAAGACTTTGGCTCCATGGCGATTACACTGTATTCGTGTGGTCTGAGCGCCATTCGCTTAATAATGTGCGCTCAGACATGAGCTATCTGGGGATATGTTAAATGTATGCTTTTAATGTTATGTGTCTTACATAGTGTATTTTAACAGTAATTCCTGTTTTAGTATCCCCACGTGCATAATGGCGATTTGCCTTTGTGTTGGGAGATAATTGAATTACTTCTCAATTATCTCCCAGGCAGAGGGGAGGAAGCCAGGATGCATTGTGGGAATATAATGTGCAT